CTTCAGGTTGGCATTAATGAGCATGTTACTGAGGTAATTTTTGTGAAAATGCTGCATTTTTAGCTGCCTTGAAGTTTCTAGAGCTCCCTCACAGGCAAGGAAATAAATTAGTCAGCAGTATTCTCTGTAGAACTGGCAAAAATAATTAATAGGTATTTTGGGAACACTGATAATGGTATTATAAAGTTACTTTATATAATAAAGTATATAAAGTTACTTTATATAAAATGTAAATATATATATGCTTTATATATATAAAGTTACTTTATATAAAAATATGTAACTTAACACATTTTTATTTATATAATTGTTATTTGCAAACTGAATGAACAGTAACAGTAAAATATGAGTGAACCACATGATATGATATATTTGCTGTTTTCAAGTTAGTGCTAAGATAACTTTACAGGTATTTCTTATTTATACATTTGTTTATTCTCACAAAGACTCATGCAAAATCTTACCGAATATGTCAGCAACTCGTAGTTTTCCCTGGAAAATATTATGATTCCTTTATTTAACTTTTAAAATTCTGTAATCTGGTCTGGTCTGGGAAATGAGACCATGTTGAATATAGGGAGAGTTGATAATTGATACTGTATTTTGGTGTTCATGTTATATACTATACAAAAATTACCCAGGAGTCTTTTAAATGATAGTACAGCTATAGTATGTTCATTTTTCCTACTATGTGCTCATGCATCTACTCTCAAACACTGTGTGCTTTGTTATACATAAATGTATTTAATATGACTGAGATGTAATTAATATGGGCATGAAGGCCTACTAACTCAAATGAAGTGATAAGATTTGTTTATTTATCTCTCTCTGGTGACATATTCTTAAGGGATGATTTTTACTTTGAAACAGAGGAGTGGTCAGTAGTTGATGATTGTCTGAATGTCTTGTTTTTTAAAAATTAACTGCTTGCCTTCAGGAACTTTCATTGATTGCTGGAATGTTCATCTCTATGTATAAAAGAATATTAAAGTGTGTAAAGTTTTATGGTAGTCATTAAGAAAATTAGATGGCTCTCCGGTGAGCACACATGTTCTATAGCAAACTGAAAGAAAGAAAGGAAGGAAGGAAGAAAGAAAGAAAGATGGATATTGGATCACTTGTTTTCCCCTTCCTTCAGATTCTTTGCACCAAGAGAGAGTGAAATTTATATGTATATTTTCTGTAAAGGGCAAAAAAGACGAAGTGAAGAGAGCCGTAGAATGTTATTATAGAGAGATCTTTATTTTACACCTGAAGAAATAGCTGTGGAGAGGTGCAATATCTTCATGAGTAAAATGTAGTGATGCTTAGTTAGCATCATCTTTCTTTCGGAGGAGTAGAAACCTTTGGTTCAGGATCAGAAGTAGATACTGCTTAAATCACATAACAAGATACTCTACAGAATCATCTCCTTTTTTTAAAAAATTATTTATTGAGCTTTATTTATTCATTCATTTTTAATTTGACCAGAGAGATACAGACAGAAAGTGAGAAAGAAGATGAGAAAGCAAGCCACCAGGTCCAGGACTTGAACCGTGGTCAGCCATGTGGGAGCATCCAACGCCTTAACCACCACGCTACTCGCTGGTCCCTCCTTTTCAATGTACCTCCAACTTTAAGTAAACAGTGGTAAAATTAGAGGCTAATCCTATAAAATGTAGTGACTCAGCATTTCTGGAGTGCCATTTTATTGAATTTTAGTTTTCTTTAAAGTAAAACATGCGCCTGACCGCAAGAATCATGCTGTGGCATTCCTTTTATGTTTTCAGGTAGATTTTAGGTTACCTTCTTAAGATAACTTTCCTTTGAAGGAAGATTTTTTTCTTTAATTTGTGAAACAAAGTGTACATTTCATATCATTTATTTTCTGAAGGATAAGAAATTTAATACCAAGAGACCAAAACCAAGTAAAATTATTTATTTGAAGTCTTCTAGTCATCCACATATTTTTCATAATGCTTTTTATAAACATATTTAACCATTATAACTCTTGCAAATAAAATTAGCAGTAACAGTTATTTGATTTTCACCACAGTCTGAAAAATTTGAATAGGTTGGAACTGGTTGACATGTGATCAATAATCATAAATGAAAACGTTGACTGTCCTGTAGTAATCAATGCATAGCTACAGCTGGTTGAAGGGGACCAAATCCATTGAAGAGGCGATTTGGTTCCATTTTACCAGCTCTAGCAAAGCATTGTAGTACTGCTAGTTGGGGATCCAAAGCAGTTAATTACTTTTCATTTGTGAAATTATGATTTGAACCTTTTATAAGTGTTAGAAATTCTCATATTAGTGCTTTAGTCACTGAATGTAAATTTTATTATTTTGTAGGCACTTTTTGTACTATTTTCTGCTAGTTCAGAAGCCTTTTCCTTTTAACACATTGCTAATGCATTAAGGAATTATCAGCATACATCTTTATTTTCAACATCTTTGCTTAATTCTTAAGTGTAGACAATAACCCATTTCAAGACCAGCAGCATTTAAAGGAACAAATAGACTTCTATGTGTTTCAGAATGTTTTCTGTTTATCTTTAAGCGATAAGCCAGATTACTTAAGTAGTTAAGCTGATAGGTTGGGAAAGAGTACTGTTAGTCACACATTTCTTCCACCATTGCTTATTTTAGTGTTGTCATTGAGGACTAATAGCAAGTTTCTGACAGGGGGTGGAGAAATATGAGTGGCCTTAGAAAGTACCTCTGCCCTTTGGTTTATAAATAGATCACAAGTGTATCAGTGTATTGCTTGGACTTGTGTTGAAAGGAACTACCATGCCTGCCAGTTTATTTTTCTTTGTTTTTGCATATGTAGTGTTACTGATCATGGGTTCATAATTGAATTATTTTAAAGATATGTTCCCTTGGCTAAGTTCTCTGTCATTTTTGGTACAGATTATGAAATTCTCATTATCAGCTTAATAATAAATTGACTTGTGAAGGTTAGCCAAAATCCATATTGATTTCAATATCAAAGGAAGGGTATCTTTGAAAACATACTTGTATAAAGTCAAAGTATGATGAATTATAATAATTTGTTCTTAGAGTAAGTGCTGTGAAATATAAAGAATAAATGGATTTTATTTTTTTTAAATGGGAAGTCAACACTAAGTTCAGTGAACATGTACCTAGCTCTTATGTTAGGTATACTCTGCATCTCTTATTTGGTTAGTATCCTGCTGCTGGAGAAATCAATGTAACTGCATTTCTTTCGTTTATTCTAATAGTGAAACAGGTGTTAAATTGCCTGAACTTAAGTGCCGAAGATAGCAGTAACACTGGCTTCTATTTTTACTAGTTATATGGGAGCTGTTTAGTAGATCCAGTTGCTCAAGTATGCTTTTGGATGGCAGTTCAGTTTCATATACTGGCCATATCGGGGCAAGGAGAGGCCATGAGAAAAAAATAGTACAGCATTTGATAATGTCAGCATCTGTTATCCCTGTCAGGGAGACAGTTGAAATGTTTGAGTTATACCAGTGTCAGCAGATGCCCGGAGTTTAACATGTACTCAGTTAAAAATGAACAGCTGATCTAAGTGATGGATGTGACATTTTAGAATGATTGAAAATACTCTTAGATATGTTAAGCTAAACTTATAAGCATCAGAATCAGTTTAAAATTTTACCTTTTCAAATGAATAGAATGTCATTTTGTTTTCTAAATATTGTATTTGTACGCTCTTAATATTAAAGCAAAAGAGGTTCTTTGTTGGGATGTTTAAAAAGAATTGAAAAACTTCTGTACCTAAAAAATAACTGATTTAATTGTTCATTATAAAATATGACTAGAGTCATACCCTTTGGATACTTTTGTAAAAGAATCTCTACTTTTGAGGAATATAATTTCAGTTTTTCTTTAGAATATGTATACGTAAACTTAAAAAATGGAGCATTGCTATTCTGTTTGTGGATGAGCAGAAGGCTATACTTAAGTGAGTTAAGCTTTGGATTAATTTCTTTGAAAATGTAGAATCTTAAAATCACATGCTTTTTTATAATTTCTGATAAACATGTAATATGTAATAACATGCTATCATATTCAATAAAGTCATTCAGTATAATCCACTGGTAAACATGAAATAATCTTTCTACTGTCATATTAAACATATTAAAGTTATAATAAAGCTTATAGTCATTTCTATTCAATTTCTGACACACATTTAAAATACGCTTTTGTACTTGGGTAACTATTTCAGTTCAAATGATACTTCCATTAAGAAGTTATCAGCATATATGAAATTGACATTTGTTTTTTAAATTTGTCATATAGTAGCTTAGAACAGGTCCTGCATATAAATTGTAGCCAAGAGATGTTTATAATTTTTATAAATAATATATAGAAAAAATTTTGCATAAAGTTTGCATAAAAGGGTACTTTGAAATCTCTAACATGCAGTGGATCTATCATGATTATAAAATTGAATTGTTATTGCATAGTACTGATAAAAATGGTTATTCTGTCTGTATAAATTGGTTCTTGACTAATGCTTTCATTACATATGCTTATTAGAGAAAGCAGATATAAAAGATAATATAGATAATAAATTAATTTCTTTGAAATATTTGACAGTCTATTACCAACATACCCTGATGACTTACAGCTATGACCTAGAATTTTTTTTCATTTTTCATTCTTATATCTTATGCTTTAATTAATTTTAGGCACTAAGCAGTTAAAGTGGCAAATGGGTTAAAGACTTGATAAACTTAAGGACAAAGGCCACTTTTTTATTTGATAGTGGAATTTTACTTAAAATATAGTATTTAGAATTAGAACTTTCTTTAGCTGTCAAAAAAAAAATAAAGCCTAAAGCTTTTGCTTCATAAATTCCTCTAATATTAATAAATTATGAATTTGTCAAAATGAAAAATAGAAAAATAACTGTTAAATGTACATGAAGTCAGTTGTTAGTCTCTAATCTCTATGATGTGATATACTTAGGATCAAATTGTGGAGATAGAAAATAGGTCACATGTATCATATTCTTTTGTGCTAATAATAGTGTTTTCTTTTTTGTAGTCAAAGTTTAGTCATGAAAGCTTTACTTAAAAATGTAAAATGTGTTTTAAACTTCAGTGATTTAAGAGGAACTGGATGATAATTTGAGATGTACTTTAGTAGGACTTTTTTCCCCACACAATGTAAATCTTGAGGATAATTAGTTTCTATCTCTAACTAGTAGGTAGAAGGTGTTAATATTGCCAAAGGTCATCTACGTACACTAGGTTAATTTACCATATCATTCTCATTCATGTAGAAAGAAGCAAGAGCTTCTTTTAGCTGCAGCTTAATTCCCTCTTGGTGATTTATTGCCTACCAAAAATACATACTTCTTTACATTCCATAGCATTGTATGTTCATATGGGTACATAAAGAAGTATGTACTCTGGGTAGGTATTACTAACTTGTTAGCTGTAAAAACATGAAATATTTTATTTTCTCATTTGTTAGTAAAACATTCAGCTTACTGGTATAGAGCAGTGGTAAGTCATTTGTAGAGACTAATTTATCAGAGACTAAATTTGACAACAGATTTACCTGCAACATGACATTAATGCCATTTATGGATCCTTGTTCTTGGTGGACATAGATATTTCTAAACATTTGACCAATTATTTGTTGAACTTTGTCCTCATTTGATTCTTTTCTCAAGAGATTCATAGAATCGGTGGAGTTTTACAGTGAACTTCAGAAGTTGATAAAATCAGCTTAGTGTTTCTTCTTAGTCTTTAGTGCAAGTTTCTTCTTTTTTGGTAGTTTACTTCTAGGTCCTATAAGTAGATAGTAATTAATTTGGTTCAAATTCTTTTTACAAATAAGACGTCATACTCAAATCTTAATTAATGAACCAGCTAATATTTTTAGTGTTGACTCTAAAGTTGCAAAAACAAGAAAAACTAAATCTTTTCAGTGTGAGTAAACTGAATTTTTTAGGGTATTGAAATTGTCTTAGTTTTTTTTTTTTTTTTTTTTTTTTTTTAAGGTTTCCAATAAGAACTCATTATATTTGAAAACTTCTTTGTCTTTTTTTTTATTTTTAAAATTAATTCCTTACCTGAGCTTTGCACATTGGTACATTGGTTTGGGTTGAATACAAATTTAAATATTGGGTTGTCAGAAAAGTCATGATGTATTTTTGTATAGAAAAACAGAAAAAAAAGTCATGACTTTTCCAACAACTCAATAGATGTATAAATACCTGATTTTGGTGAGTTTAGTTCTTTTGATTCTTTAATCCTTCTAATAGTATAAAGGATAACAACCAAAATAGTCAACTTTTCTAAAGTCTCACTTAAAAGGAAAAGGTTTTAGCTTACGATTATTTGGGTTTTAGCTTGCTCATTTAGCATGAAAAGAAATTATAGTTGATGAGTAGTTTTTAATTTTTATGGTATAAAAAGGTTAATCTAAAAGACAATATTAAGAAATTTTCAGAATTGCAAAGGAGGGGAATAAATGCAAGGATAGAATTTCTGCAGCCTATGACAGAAAACTAGTGCAGCTTATAGAGAGCAAATCAGAATATAGATGTAGATAGCCCAGTACTACAGCAGTTTCAGCACTGCAGCATTAGAATTACACTGTGCATATTCTGATTTATTTTTGTGGCCAGTTACTAGTAAGCATTAAAAAGTATTTTGTGATCTGCCAATTTTCTTAGTTGGCTAAACACTGAAGTAGATAATTAGTAGTTTTTAAAAGATATCATACTTTGGGAAACAGGATATAATTTACCAGGAATGCAGAATCATCATCTAACCTAAAACAATAAAGACTAAATCTTAAATTATTTCAGTGACAATAATGGATTTGTATATTTTTGAGCTCAAGAGTTAGCTACTCTGATATTTGAACAACATTTCTTTTTACACTACATAAGCTCTCAACTGGAACTGTGAAATTAGGCTATGCTCAGATAGAATCTTAATACTAAGAACATATATTGAGTCAGTAATTGGTAAGCATGCAGAAGGTCTTAAGCATCCTTAAAAGTACAGGCCTTGTGGTGCGCTGTTACCTGTAAGCTTAGTGTTGTGCAGAATTTGCAGCAGGAGGAAAGGTAATGACCTAGAGAGTCACATCAGCCGCAGCCATCTCATCCTGGTCGTTCGTTCACTCTATTCGCTGATTCAGCACTTCTTTTCATGAGCCGGGTGAAGTAAGGGGGATGTATCAGAACACACAGAACCTCACCTTGTAAGATGAATTTGAAAAATGAAGAAACGAAAACAAGTAAGCCTACTTTTCCTCTTCCCTCCCCTTCCCCCAAGGCGAACTACATTAAAATTCAACCATTCGTCATTTGATTTGGAATGTCATATACCAGTATTGCATAGATACG